AGTACTAGCCCTCTGCTCTTCCCCAGTAGCATATTGGACACCTTCCGACCTGAGGGGCTCATCTTCCGGCGTCATATCTTTTTGCCTTTTGACACTGTCCATGGGGTTTTCATGGCAAAGATACTGGAGTGGGTTGCCATTTCCTTCTCCAGTGGATCACGTGTTGTCAGAGCTCTCTGCTATGACCTGTCTGTCTTGGGTGGCCCTGCACAGCATAGCTCATAGCTTCATTGAGCTACACAAGCCCCTTCGCCACGATAAGGCAGTGATCCATGAAGGAGGAATAATCATTGTTATTATTTGTTGTCAATTTGTCTCTGACTTACGGCAACCCTACAAATGAAAGCCCTCCAAAATGACCTGACAGCTTCATTCAGCACTTCTAAATTTAAGGCTGCAGCTTCTTTTATGGATGGAGTCCATCTCATATTTGGAGTTCCCTTTCACCTTCTGCCTTTGACTTTCATTAACATGATTGTCTTCCCCAGTAATTCCTCTCTTCTCATGATGTGTCCAAATTATGCCAGCTTCCCTTCTGTCATTTTTGCTTCTAGGAAAAGCTCTAGATTGCTTTGATACAGGAACCTTGTTTGTCTTTCATTTGATCCGGGGTATTAGCAAAACTCGCCTCCAGCACCATGTTGTGAAGACATCAATTTTTTTCCTGTCAACTTTCTTCCCTGTCCAGATATCGGATATGTTGTGTCTGGGAATATAACAGTTTGGATGATCTTGATCTCAGTAAACATCCTTAACACTGTATGACTTTATCTAGTTCCTTCATTGCTGCCCTTCCAACTCTCAGACTTCTATTAGTTTTTTGGCTGCAGTTTCATTTGAATTGATGACTGAGTCAAGGTGTGTGAAATCTTTCACAATTGTGATTTCTTCGTTCTTGGCAGCGTTCTGCAATTCAGTTGCAATTGTGCTTTTGTTCTTTCTTCTTTCACTTTTATCAGGAGTTGTTTCAAGTCACTGCTGCATTCTGCCAGTAGTATGGTATCATATTCATACCTTAAATTATGGTCGTTTCTTCCACTAATTTTCAGTCCTTCCACTGATTCTAATCCAGTTTTCCTTGCACTATATTCTGTGTACAGATTGAACAGAAAGGAAGATAAAATACATCTTTGTCTTATACCTTTGCCTATTGGAAGTCGTTCTGTTTCTCCATATTCTAACCTTCACTTTCTTGTCCAAAATACAGGTTACACACCAGTGCAATCAAATGCTGAGTGAACCCCATTTCTTTCAGGACCATCCATAGCTTCTTGTAATCCATACGGACGAAAGCTTTGCTGTAGTCTATAAAGCAGACTGATCTTTTTCTGGGTTTTTTTTGGGGAGGGTGTGGATGAACTCTAGTAGCCGATGTACAAGGATGTGTAGTGCCTCTTCCTTTTTAGAATGCAGCTTGGTTGTCCAGCATTTCTTGCTCCATGTAGGGGTAATATTCTTTGTTCCAATGATTTGAGCATCACTTTGCTTGCGTGGGAAATTACTACAATGGTCCTGTGGCTGCTGTACTCTTTGGCATCTCCTTCCTTGGGGACTGGAATATATATTGAACGTTTCTAGTCAGTGGGCCATTTTTTGTTTCCCATATTTGTTGTCGTATTTTTGAATAGCCACATAGATCAACAAGCATCCGTTGCAACCCTCCCCACACACCGCTTAGCCATTCATGCTAGTGCTCTGTTCCTTCCTTTGTGCTCCACTGACCTTCTCAGAAGTAGGACGGAGGAGCTGTTGGAGTACCCCTTTGTCCCCTTGATCCCAACAATATTGTTCCAGCAACTTACTGTTATAACAGAACAGAGGGACTTTCAAGGCGTGCAACTGGAAAATGAAGCAAGGCTATAGGAACCTGTTTGTCTGGCATTGCAAGACCTCCTCAAGGCTCCTCTCTCAGTGAGCTTATTTTCCCCCCAACACTGTCACTAGATGCATGGCTCCTCACCCTCTTTCTCATTTTTTCTGCAGCTCTCTTTTGCAGGCTGTGGCATCTTCAGCCGCTCCTTCCCTCCACCACCCTTGTCAGCCAGAGTGAGAAGCAAACAAGGAAGCAGGTTCCCATGGAGAAGAGGGGAGCAGCTCCAGGGGGCTCGTTCCAGTCACCCCCTGCTGGGATGGGGCCCTTGGCAGGCGTCCCGCCAGGCCTATCTTCAGCTGAGGCAAAGCTTCCTCCCTCCGGGTGTCACAGCTGATGAAGTGGGCTGCCAGTCCACTGAGACCCCCTCCCCCAGTTCATAAGGCCCTGCATCTTAACAACAAGATTGCATTTTAATATGATCCGTGTTCTGGCCACTTTTTGATTCACGTTTTTGATTTCAATATGATTCATGTTCTGGGAAGCATTTACTGCAGCACAGTAGTGGGCATGTCTCCTTGGGAATAAAGTCCCTTATCCAAGAAAATGCCTTCGGGCCAGGATTTATGGGCAAGACCAGGCAAGGTTTTGCAGACGAGGTCCCACCATAAACAAGCATTCTGCCTGTGATTGCGATGGTACTGGCAGCTTTGATTGTTGCCAGCCGAGTGGAACCAGCCTTGGGGTAGAGTTCTGCCCAGTGAGCCTGTCCCCAGTGACCACTCAGTTTCCACAGAGTAGCCACAGCAATTTCCATGCTCGGCAGGAGCAGGCTGCAGGGCATGTCATGGCTCTGGCTGAGCACTCGGAGGAATCCCTCGGGTGAAGATAGCAGCTCTGAGCTGGAGCAGGGAGGCTGGGTGGGAGGAAATGAGTCTAATGGCAAGAAACCACATGATTGTGTTTTATAGGAATTAAATTCTTGCTAAGTCCCAGAAGAGCTAGTTCCATGTTGCAGCACAAGACGTCTGCCCTTTACAGTTATCTGTAGCCCGTAAAGCAATGCAAGCCGCAGCTCTTGGAAACAGAGGTGGCCAGTGGTTGGGACACACGAGTTGTTCACCAGTGAGTAATGTGACTAGTAAGAACGCTGAAAGCAATCCAGTTGTAAAATTTCCATACTTTTAAACTCATAAGAGAAAATATTCCCTTTTTTAAGGGAAAAAAGCATGCTTGAAGCAAATGTTAATACAGCCAATGTGTACTTTTAAATAAATCTAAGCTCATTTTGCTCCTTTACCAATACATCAT